TCCTCTTAACAGCTGTTGTATCATCCTCTAGCTGAGCTTGTTTTGAGCAGAATGATTCACGACAAGCCTTTCAGTATTTCGCAGAGTCAGTTTCCACAGTTTCAAAAGCTCCTTTTATCAGCACAGAGTTTATCCTGTGTATGGATTTCTTGATTATTCCTTTATAAATGGTAAATGGCCTGTATTTATATAGCGCTTTACTAGTCCCTAAGGACCCCAAAGCGCTTTACATATCCAGTCATCCACCCATTCACACACACATTCACACACTGGTGATGGCACCAGTTTATACATGTTTGCTGTTATTAAGTGCTGAACTGGGCTGCTGTGCCTTTCACAGTAAAAATATGCTTTAACAGGTGCATCTACATATAATGCACTGCAGTTCTCGTACTGGTGTGGACATAAACTGGACAGTCTCCTCATCAGCACTCCTGAATTCGCTGTTGGCAGCATACATCAGCAAGGGAAAATCAGGTCAAGGACAGCATCACTGTGAGGGCTTTTGATGAGCTAATAGACAGGCTGATAAAACTCTTTAACACTGCAGTGAGCTCAGGGATGGGTTTTTATGAAGTGTTTCTTAGCACTAAGATCATCCTTGCCCTCACTTAAACTGATATGTGCAGGAGTTCTCTCTCTTCCTCATGAATTTAGTCAGATGCTTAAATTACTGATGGCAAGATAAGTAACAGCACTGTCACAATAAATTCAACAATTATCATGTCATGACTGTGACTCGCTAAGTGCTGCTAAACATTGTTTCCAAAAGAGAGTTTTGAGGGTTTTTTAAAAAAGAAATATAATAAACTGCAACCTTGATGTAACTACTGATATTCCTTCATTAAACTGTAGTTATTCCTACAGAACCAACAGTATGTTCCTCTTTCTTGGTTAAAAATAAAAACTAATAAAGTTTAACATTTTTGCTGCTTGACATTTTCTTTACTTAACTTCTTAAACCCCATGTGGTTTAACGGGATGTTATTTAACCTCCTAGGACCTGGCGTCCACATATGTGGACCTCACATTTTGGGTTATTTAGACCAAAATACTCAATTTTGCTCTACAAGGGCCTGATATCCACTTACGAGGACATTATACTGCTACTGTTCTATCAAATTTTTAAACGAATATCCTCATATGTGGCTCTCATTTTTCTTAGAAACAAAAATTAGGTAAAAAGAAATCTGGTAATTCTTTGTTTTTACATTTATCAGGTCCCAATCAGCCGAAATATCAAAGAGAAATGAAAAATACATGCCGTGTAAGAGTTCGGGTCTTAGGAGGTTAAATATAGTTGTCAAAATTTCAGCTTAAAGCTCACAAAAACCATTTCTATGTCCACCAAACACAGCTAAATAAACAATTAAAGTAGCAGGTAAACAAATTGCACAAATGGGTGTAAACACAAAGCACCGATTCCCCTGTTCGCTCAACAGCATGCACCAGACAAACGATGCCGCTGCTCTCTGAGGTTTCATCACGCTCCAACCAAAACATATTGAACCAACAGCAAAAAGAGACCAACTCTTCACATTTGAAAAAGCGTAACATGAATTCTGTCCTGCCTCAAAATTATTATTATTTTTGCCTTATTTGCTTGTTTACATACTTGAAGCATTACTCACTAGACTACTGTTGTGCATAATGTTGGCCTCCAAAAAGAGAGGCTATTTCTTGTTACCTAAGAAAGTTCAGCTTTCACAGGTGGTGTTAAATTGCAAAATGCCTAGCTACATTATTAAAAAACCTCTGTAATTTTGTTCTGTTTCACTTCAGCAGCATCAGTCTTTCCACAGTAAATGCCCATGTGTTCATTTGTAGTTTTCTTGAGTTTACTTTGTGTTACTTTAACACAATGGCACCTGCTGTGAAGCTTACACGTCTTATGAAGTCTCACAAGTGTTAGCTTTACTTTGATAGCAAGATGGTTTACACACTTTGTAATTGCTGAAAAATACTCAATTTTATGCATATCATTTTCCAGCAGAAAGACCCTTGGGGCTTAAGAGGACAACTCATCACAGAGCATGGCTGTAGAAATTTGCAGCGCTGTCAGTTTTGGCATGAAGTTTGAAGTCTGAACTGTCTTTTCTCTTTTAATTCATTTTAACACAGGGTCCTTTTTGTGTGTCTGTCTGTGAATGTGAGGGCTTGATTGAGTTAGTTTTAAAGAGTAGTTGCCAAATTTACATACACCTATGATTCATCCAGCATTTCTCATTAATAAATAATATAAACCAAGCAAAGGAATCTAGGATGACAAATCAAGACGATATCTCACAGGAAAGGCCATTACAAGATACTGAAATATGAAAAGAATTGTATCAAAACATGAGGCAGGAATAAGAAAACAGAAAAAGGAGACCTTATTTAGTTCTCAGGCAGAGCGTAGCCCTACCCCCACTACCCATGATGCTAGAGAGCAGAGAGGAATAATGAGATTTTATAGCTGTACTCCAGACCCCAGGTAGGTCTAATTATTTAATGCATCTTGTGCACCCGTCCTTCATCCAAAGGCTCTGTAGCATGGCTGTGAAGTATGTCAACCATTAACCCTGTAGACCATTTGACCAGTAAAAAATTAAAGTCCTTTCTATAGATTAGGCAACATTTTTGAAGCCGGGGCTAAATTTTCTTTAACAGTAATGAGATGTGTAATGAAATGTCAAGAGGGTTGTGTGAAAACTGTCTGGCGTATATATGCGTTACCTACTAGGTAATGTACTTCCAAATAAAAAAAGACCCATAGTTTTACCACCTAATACAACTGTGGATGAATAATCCAGTTAAATAGAAACCTTATCCACACCTTGTCCCCCTTTCTGAGGTATTTGGTGTATCTTTTGTCTGCACTGTGGGATTACAGGTGTGGTTTCACCTCAGCAGACCTGGAGTCCTCCAGTCAAAGAACTGATGTGAAGATGAAAGTCTTGTTTTAGTTTGAAGCTGCCCTATTCAGGAGTATTGGACCAAATGACAGCATCTGTCTGTGTGTCTTAGAGATCAACATTCAGGAGGAACAACATGGTTCTGTGCAACAGAGTAGCCAGGCCAGAGTGGATGGACAATAGCTCAGTGAGAGAGAGAGCGATGGAAAGGGAAAGATAAAGGCAGGGGTTTTCTTTTTTGTTGAAAGGGCACGCTAAACCTATGAGAAGAAGAAGATCAGAGACTAGCCGACACACACACACACACACACACACACACACACACACACACACACACACACAC